AGGATTTGACATCATCTATCAGGAAATCCAGGGATGGAGAAGGCTACCGACCGGCCTTGCAAATCTTCTGCATTTGATAAATGCTAATCACATTGTACACCCCCCACCCTCGGCACTCAGATGAAATCAGGGTGAAATAAGCACCAAGGAGAGAGAGAGAGAGAGAAAAAATAACAGGTCAGCCTGGGGTTCTTCTGTGGAAAGGGATTAGCATCAGCAAGGGTGGAAGAATTAAGGGTCACCGTCTGCAGACGAGCCCCAAAGTTTGGGGTCGGACCTCCTGGTACCCTAGGATCTGTCCTACACGCACCCTTTAAGTTTCTCGGTTTGAGTCTCGCCTGTAGATTCTCAAACGGGACACTGTATTTGGCGTTCTCACAGCGCACAGCTCAGAGCTGACCGCTGAGCCGGTTCTCAGTAACATCTGGGAGCAAAATCGGCTTTTGAGGTTGGGGACGGAAGGATACCGGCTTTATTTAAGCTAGGGTGTGGCCCTTGTACTAACTGCCAGCAACATTTTTCCGATCGCGCTCTGTCTCCCTCCTTCCGCCCAGGTGACGTCGGGAAGCCCCGCAGGACCCGCTAGGGGTTCCGCGGTTAAGCCGCGTCCTTCAAGTGTCAGTCTCGATCCGTCTGGAAACCACAAACCCCAGAGTCCCTGGTGCAGGGAGGTCAAGCCGCAAATAAGATGGCTCCAGAAGGGTGGACCACGCAGCAGGGTGGAAACCCTAGTCCCTGGCAGTTTCTTTACCGGATGTGTTTAAATAACCGAATCCCCACCAATGCACCACCCCGCTAACCACCTCCGAGGCCGAGGAGGCCACCGCCACCGCCTCGCTGGCTCCTCCAGGGCCATCCTGGGAATTGTAGTCCAGCCGCTGGGCTGCGCCGAACTACCTTTCCCATGGTGCTCAGCGGACCGGGCGAGATCAACGTTCTTTTCTAAAACTTTCTCCGCACGGAGACCCCCCCGGTTTCCCCTCTCCCCTTCTTTCTGACGACCCCTTCCCGTCCATCGCGACAGAACCGCGGCCGAAAGAGGGCCCTGACCCGTTGCCGCGTAGCCGCGCCGCCGCGAGAGGCACTTCCGGCGGCGGTTC